AACAATGAATACTTTTATGCATATTTATACAACATTCATTCATTCTTCTTCATTCATCACCTTTTATCATTATTATCATTATCATCATCATTATTGTTACTATTTTATTACCAATGTTGTGAAATGATGTACCAAGCATAGCTTTTTACCGAGCAATTTTCCTAAATATAATGTAGTATTATAAAGGTCATCATTACATACAATCATTTTAAATCATCATTATCACCTTTAAAATTTCTTTTTTAGAATAGAGTTGATATTGTGCTGTGATATAATTGAGGTGTGATTATGAATGATTATATGTTTCGAAAGAATTAGGGGGTTCAAGCATTTTATTAAACGTGATCAAATAGACCAAAAATTTTCAACTTGTAACTTTTTCATTGGAAAGAGTTGGAGGTGGCGAAGAAGGAGCATGTCAATTTGGGGCAAAGTTAGAAGGATGTGAGCAAATGCTTGGCAGATTGAGAGAACAAGAAGAATGAAGATGAATAGCAAAAGACGATGTGTGGGAAATGATAAAGATTCTTGAAAATAACAGGTTCAAAATTGTGGAGATAGATTAATAGAATAGCATACAAATATTATCAACAAGATAAAAGATATATACAAAAAGAAAAAGACACCAATAACTTAACGAAAGGAAAGAAAACGATGGGTTAAAGAATGATCCAACCGGCATATTTTTAAAGTGTTATGCATTTGGACGTATAATTTATGATCCAAGCAATATACTTCCAACATTTCAAAATTTAGCCAAAAAGCGTTGGGAAGCAGGACCACCAGCACTAGAGGATAAAGATAGATGGAGACCAAGGTATGAAATAGCAGATTTATTAAGAGATTTAGAGGACATAGACTATGTACAAAATGAAGCAACGGCGCATTTTTTACTGGTTAAACTCGTTGAAAGATTAGTGAGGATACAAGAAAGGTTATGGAACAGATGGCCAGAAAAATTAAAAAGATGTGTTGAAGGATGGGAAACTTGGGATGATAGTGGTGGTAAACTTGCAAAAAAAGTATTAAATTCAAATGTCAAATGGAATGAAAGATTGATGTGTGCAAAAGATTTGGCAAAATATGTTTTAGGTCCAATTGGAGGAATTATGCCTACAGAATGGAATATGGAATGGGAGGAATTACAAGAATCATATAATCCTTTTACAATACCAAATATAATACCGAAATTAGAGATGTGGGCATAACTACATCATATATAAAAATAGATTG